CTTTGTAGAGTAGGGTTAATGATCCTAAGGGTCTTTTCCAACCTGAATGATTCTATGATTCTTTTGTTCAGACAACAACTTCTCTCGATCTCAACAGGCAGCTAACCTGCCTCAAGTATTACATCTTATGATGAACTTAAGTCTGGTTGCAGTAAGTAGATATTCTTGCTTAAAGAAAAGGGATTTCAGCAGTGGTTTAGGTCAATGCACGATTTTCAAATGCAATTAACTTAGGTGACAGAACATGTGTTCAGGCACCTATCTTTGCCAGCAGTCTGATTTCCAACCACAACACTGTTAGCCATACTCTTCCCTTCCTCACACACTGCATAAAACCAGCACATAGAACACGGTCAGACTGAGACAGTGTGGGGAGAGAAGCTGCAGAAGTTCCCACAGGTACAGTTACATCCTAACGCTCTTGGCCTGGGACTATGTGACCACAGGAAGAAAGGCAGAAGGCTACAGTGAGAGCCTAAAGCCAAAAATACCTGGTCTCACTAGTACTTGTAATCCATGAGTGCTAAATTCATTCAAATCATTGGCAAGGAAATCATCTAGGGGGGAGGGAGCACAAAATGCATTTACCAAACACTCTTTGTGTGCTTTAAATATGGGATATTGTGAAAAAAACCAAGGTATGTGGAGATCAGTAATTCACTATAGTTGCCTTAACTTGACAAAAGCTGGCCCAGAATAGCAGCTCTCGAAATGCCTTTTGTTCTGATGGCTTTTTGGCTCGCCTGAAGTGAAGTAGGAAACATCAATCTATTTCCCTCCTGACATCTCCCTCCCCCACAAAATTGGCTTTCCAAGGTAAAGTTGTGGAGGCATACACAGATTCAAAAACCAACGCCAGGAGGAGACAGGACAGAGTAACTAATTTCCCATCTAATCAGAAGTTGTGCTCTTCCCCACCGGCTCCCAACCAGCAATGTTCACCTCTGGAGTAAGGCTTACCAAGTTTAAAAGAGATGCAGCTGGAAAATGGATTACAACTGTGAGGCTGGCCACAGTTTACTGATGTCTTTACCAAAGTTGCTGTTGACATGGATGCTCTTGGGAGCACAGGAGAGGAAGCAAACTGTTGTAAAAGGCAATAGGGAGTACCATGAAGAAGGACTACCCAGAAGTTCAGGGGTAGCGGAGAAAGGGTAGTTAGGCCAGCCTTCCTCCCAAAAATCACTGCTAAAAGAAATAATCAGCCAGGGCCTTACGCAAAACATTTCATCTGTGTAGGGGAAAAAGAAAAAAATTTTCCCAAGGCTGTGCAGCTCATTTTCCCCTCAAAATCCAAACAATTTCTTCACAGACATCCCAGCAAGAAAAATGAGAAAATACTTTTGACTATCTCGCATTCTTCCCTCCTTCCCATTTCCTATCCTATCCTACAGTCAAAAAAACAATCAAAGAAATTTCCTCATATTTGGTAAACATAAAAATACAGACAGCTCTGCAGCTCAGATTTCTCATGTCAAGCATCACCAGCAGCAGATACTTACAGTAGTTATAAGTCCTTACTTTAAAAGGGCTTCTATTTGTTGCACTAATAAACAAAAAAAAAACGATGCTAAAAGGCACTGTTATAATTAGAAAACACTAGAGGTCAGTCATCCTTTCCACTGTGCAAGTGCATTTCATTATGATTACAAACAACAGCTGGATATTAACAGCACGAGAGGGATGAAAGGGAGTTATTTACATACTCAAGCACAAGGATATCTCTGTAAGACCTGACAGTCAAGTATGTAAATCCCTACAACGACGTGTCCTCAGCAGTTTGGGATGGGACTGAAACAAGTTCTTTATGCACCTGGACAACCAAAGCAAATGAAGCAACCAAAGCCAGTGAGAAGTACTCAGGTATCTATTATGACGGGCTTAAGAGCTATGCTTGTTTAAAAGTAAACAGGAGAACTTCAATATCTCATGCGACTTGATCTTAACCACACGCCAGTTGGAGACGGGTGTGCCAACTGCACTGTACATTGTCTTACCTCATGCAGAGGGAGCCACAGATTTTTTCCTGCTGCTTCAGTATGATACTTTAAAGCCTTCTACTGTACCTCCAAACAAACTCAAGTCTATAAAACTCGCAAAGTACGACATACAGACAGCACAAGACTGCAGCAGCCGCCTCTGCGGCCAGCACATGTCCAGTTCTCCTAGCTTCAAGAGATTTGCTTATTTAAGCAAGCCCAGAGACACAGCAGTCCTAATGTGGCTGTGGCACAGTCTGACAACCCTAAGGAGGATGGTGGCCGGCCTCCCTCCCACACATGGTGCTTTTCATTTTCACCGTGCCAGCCTCTCGGGTGCCCAAGGCTTAGTTCACCACTCTCATCTTTCCTATCCCATGGAGTTAACGTAAAGGGCTGCAATCAACTTCAGGCAGATAAAAACTGTAATAAATCAGTGAGTTTCTTTTTCTAATTGGCAGGGCATACATTATACCAATAACTTCACCAGCAGATGATCTTTTCCATCCGATGGTTGTTGCCTGCAGGATTAAATCCCTACAGGCTTTGCCTGGCAGAACGGAAAGGAAAAATCATGCCCCAATAAAGTCATTGCAGTAACACACAGTGCTTACATGCATAAGGAGAAAGGTTTGTTGTCTTCTTCCCATTTGCCTCCTACTGATGTGAGATTACATTTTTCTACAGGGAAGCAAAGCAAAACAGATTTAAAGTCATTTTGGGTCGCTCAGCCTGACTTTAGAGACAGGGCCTGCCATTCAGCTAAAGAGCTCACTACAGGGTCACAGGATTAAAGCCTGGAGTTTTTCACAGAGCCAGTGCTTCAATCCCATTGTTAATCAGCTAATTAAGACTGAATACATCTAACTGCAGACTGGCAAGGCACCAGCGAACGGAGGCAATGCCCAGGCCATGTGGGGATACTCTGTGGTGTTTAGGGCTGGGTTTTTCTGGGATTCTCCCATTAGAAATTAGAGCCAGAATGTTTCCCAGATATATATCAGGATGAATCCAATTCTAAAAGAAAATTTTAAAACTATTCACTTAATTTTCAAATTTGACCAGCTGCTTCTGACTGGCTTCCTGCCTTCTCCCTGCCAGAAATACCCTGACCTTTCTTCAACACTAATGGATTGTCTAGTTCCTTTCTGATGAACTGTCCCAAGACACAGAGTCTATCCACTCAGTCGATCTTCCCTGCCTCCATAAAGCTCCTTGTGCTGTCCCAGATGCCACAGAACACAGCTGGGACTAGCCGGCACAGGAGCTATGGCCCCTAAGATCTGGCACTTTAATATTACTCAAATGGATTGTGATGCCATCTCGTTGAGGCGAAAAGCTGCTTTGCCACCCCATTGCGACAGACTTGGTAGGAGCAGGGATGGATTCTAAAGCCACTCGGGTCCAAGTAACTCTTACTACAGCTTTTTACTGAAGAGGAACTGTTTAGTATGACTCCCAGAGGTTACCAACACTCAGCTTGCAACTAAAGCAAGAGATCTTCCCATCGGAACTGATGTTCACGACTTTTACTTCAGCCATAATCAGGTTCAGTCTCCAGTGGACCACTGTACTGAGTGGATAGCACATGAGCCAAGGAAAACATATGATTTCATCTCCACAATACTGAAGTAAAACTTGCGTACACAGCCAACTTACTGAACTGCTTGATGTATTGGTACTTGAGTAAATCACTCTCTTCTCTGCCTTGATTCCCCAATACAACATCAACAAGGAAATTGCACTGTAGGAGATGGGCATCATGTCACAGAGAGAACAAATATTGCCAGGGAATTCAATAGGGGAAGTGAGCATAACAGCACCATTCACTTCTTGAAAGCCTGGCAAGAAAGAATCTGAGAATGAACTCCCTGCAGAGCTCTTCCTAGATGCAAGGGTCTTCAGGAACAAGTTCTTGGTGAAAGGAAACAAAACAGTGACCACATGGTGTGTTAGTGCATCATTTAGAAATGCAGAATGCCTTTGGTCTTCAGATCCTTTTGCTCTAAAACCAGAATTGCTACTTAATGACACTTTTTTTCTTCTTCTTGAATATGGAAATATACTGACTGCTGAACAAGGGTGGCTTTTTGCCACATGCAGGCTGCGCAGAAGTCCTGGGGGACTGAACAGTTCTAACTGGGAAATATCACAATATGGACCTCATACCTGGCTTCTTTCATGAAGAAAAGGCTTCAGTCTTTCATAATACCCTGTCACATACGTAATACAGGATGTATTAGATAACAGAGCCATCGCACGGAGTATATGTGGGAGATGAACACTTTACTCCTTGACTTTCACCCTTGGCAGTCAAGCCAGAGCAGTGCAGAAGAAGAAACAAATTAATGCCTTCTGAAAAACACCTGTGGGTGCATGAGTTTACCCCTCTGCTAGTGCTTGCTATAACACGCCTACAAATGTGAGCTTAACCATACCCTCTGGCCATACTCAAATTGGGCTAACACAGTATTAAAGAAAAAATGTTTGCCAACCTGTTTTAATGGATGTAACTCAAACACAGGCTTAGACTATTCCAAAGAAGTCGAGCATAAACAAGTTTTATAAAACCTTATAGTGAGTCTTTAAAAAAGCAACCACTAATACAAGCAACCTAGTCTTAATTTTAGGTAGGTCTGCACAGCCCTGCTGCTGCGAAATCCCACAGATGACATGTTAACGCTTAGCCCGAAATTCCAGAAATGCTGCATGGCACTGACCAAGGTGCCCTCAAATCCAACACTCACAGTCCACACACCACATGTTACAACCTAAAGGCGACCTGATTTCCCGGGTTTGCATATGCAATTAACCCTGGATAAAGCACAGTGCTCCTCTAAATGCTCTGCTTGGGAAACGTCCAAGTTCTGGGGAGCAAAAATAAGGACCTTGCCCCATACATCATGCTCGGCATCAGGGGAGGTGGGGGAAGGTACCCGGGGAGGAGGGAAACAACGTCCCTGCTGCTTCAAGGAGGCACTGAAGGGTGAATAAACGTTTTTAAATGCGACTGTCACTTACTTATCCAGGATGAAGTAGAGATCAAAGGCACCGTGACAGGAGCGCTGCTCTTCTTGCTCTTCCCTCTCCTCCGGCCGGGCGCAAGAGATTAAGCTCCCCATCGCCAGCAAAAGGCAGCACAAAAACGCTGCTTTCTCCACGCTGCTCCTGCAACTCGCCATCTTTTCCCTTCCTTAATTCCTCCTCCTCCCCCAGTCTCTCTCTCTCTAGCTACAGACCTTACGGGCTCTTCTGAAGCACCGAGGGCAGAGAAGAAAAACAAACAAAAACGCCAAATAAAAAACCAACCACACACACACACAAAAAACAACCCACAACAAAAGCCAGCGAACCACACACACAAAAAAAACCCACGCCAACTTCAGAATCTCA